ATTTTTAAATTCTTTTTGTGCTTTTCACTCCAAACAACCAAGCACAATGTGACATCAATTGCTGTAAAATACAAGAGCTTTGTTTTTAAAACCAGATAATTTTTTCTGAATCCACAGACTGAAAACTGTATCACAAGATCTTCCAATTCTTTCACAGTCTCCATCTCTGAACTTTTAACAATAAAAGAGACAGTTAAGCCAATTAAGTTTAGAGGTAGCCAGGTTGTATGACAAAGAAATGAAATGGTACAATTATCACTGTTAAGTTAACCACTGTTATACAGCAAAACATACACCACCCGTACACACACACACACACTTTCTTCTTTACCTTGTTGCTCATTTAAAGTGCCATTCTCCTTCTCATTTGTTGGTCTTCATAACTCAGTCCATCTGCATGATGTCATCTCTCATTTGCCCCTCTGGATCCACTCTCCACCCTCACGGCCTGCTCTCAGCACAGAGTGCTGACCTTGTAGTCCACATCCACAGGCTCACTTGCACTCTGCCTTCTGGTTGGTTTAGTTAGAGGAGGTTTCCAGGAGGAAGATGAAGGACAGTGAGACCAGGACATGTATTTCCCCAGCTTCCCCTCTGCTGTGCCTCTACCACAGGCTACTGCTCCTTCCATGGGGTCCTGTCTCTTAAGGAACCTGTCTGGATTCAAGGGTCTTCTTTGCTCCTCCTTCAGGCTTGAGAGTTGTCTGTTTCCTGTCAGGACCCTGTCTAATCCAGGAGCCTTTCTGAAATGCCTTCTTTTCTTAGTTTCTGGAGAATGCTCTGTCCTCACCCAATCCTCCCTGGAATTAGCTCTCTTGGGGCTCTGCTTTCCCAGCTTTCTAGCAACCTGCATTCCCCTTCACAACGCACAGTCTCAATGCTGAGATTTTTGATTCATTAAAGCATATGGGAAAAATACAAAAAAAGTGTGGTTTAGCTTATCCTACACACACACACACACACACACACACACACACACACACACAATCTATTTTTTCTTTAAAAGTACTTAAATCACACATTAAATATCATAAAAGTGACATATTCACCACAACCAGTGAAATAATGTGAAAATATATAAAGAAAATAAGTTAATGCTCTTCTTCAATGCTTCTGGATCCTTCCCCTTCACCTCATTCTCCTTCACCATGCCTTGCCCCTAGACAAAGAAAGTGAAGAGCCGAGCCAGTCTTTTTCTACACCTGTCTCCTTGATACTCAAACTTGTAGATGAACTCATACATACAGAGGGGTAACTCCTGTCTTTACAAAAACTGAGGGCATGCTATACATTACTTTGCAACTTGCTAGCTGTAGATCTAGTTCAGTACTTCAAATAGCCTCATAACATTACAGAGTATAAATGTACTGTAATTTACTTAACCATTTCTCTACTGTTGGACAAATTTTTACAGCTATTTTGCCACTACAAACAATGCTGCAATAAAAAGTTTTATGCATATATTTTTACTAGTACATTTATTTATGTACGCTAAATTCCTAAAAGTAAGGTTTGTAAGTCAAAGTTACATACAGTTTTAATTACCACTCCCTCACTCTCTTAAAAGTATATAGCGAAGATTTTCCTGTCAATTTAATTCTTATTTTTGTCTTACATGGCTATAAAACAATATATACAATTTCTGAATCTTATTTTCTCTCTTAAGATGAATTACAGATAATTTTCTATATATCCCATACTTTCTATAATAATCTGAATTGGCTGCATATGTCTAATAATGTTGTGAAGCTTCTTTAAAATTGTATTGGAATTGTATCAAACCTCAATATTAATATAGGAAGAACTTATATCTACTTCTCATAATATATATCCAGAGATAAATCAAGGTTTTGAAAGCAGCAGTAGGTATAATATAACCTATTACAAGTATTCCTCTCAACCCTTAATCATTTGATGTTAACTATATCTTTTCATGTGCACAAGAATTGATCAAATGATTCACAATATCAAGAACAATGTCTGGGGCATATGCTTCCAACACTACCTCAGTGACTTCAATTATAGGGAAAAGATCAGGAGATTGATGAGGAACACACTGAAACATGCATTTCACATGATTCTTCTGGCATTAAGAGTTTATTTCAGATCAAAGGTAAAAGAAAGTTACTAAAATGGAAAGGAATCCCAGTCCCAAGGACACTGCTATGCAGGTTAGCACAACTCAAGTACCTCAAGGTGTGAGAAAATACCACATTCCAGAAAGGCTTGGGAACATTCTATAGCGGTTTCCATCCCAAAACAAAACACTAGAAACCAATTCCAAGGTGGGGAAAGATGAAGCTGGGAACCATGAGAAGACAAGTCTGGCCACCATTCACTGTTAGGAGAGATTACACATCTCTATTTGACTTTCATCACCAGACAAGAAATTCCTGTATATAACCCTTGGAATGAAAAGTTAGGCAAAAATTAAAAAGCCAATAGGAGGTGGACTAAAAGCCTCTATAATCCCTTCCTGTTATTTCCTGTGTAGATGGTAATGTTTTAACTGCTTAGTGCTGTGAAAAGGAAAAGATTTCATTCTTTCCTGGGAATTAACACTTGCTCATAACACTAAAAAGTCTTCCAACTGGAAACGGATCTGATTACTTTTGCCAGACTTAATCTCTTACTTGAGCAGTTAATGAGGACTTTCAATAACCTTAATTACGTCACTTCAATAAAACACTGAGACGTTATTTCCACAAGAAATAAAGATCCACAGACCATAAACTCAACCTGGTTAATAGCTAACATGGAGAAAGGTGGGAGTTGGATTCAGACAAAGGGTCACTGTACAGTGATGGTAAATGAGCGATACACTGGTCATCTGGGCTGCTGGGGACTGTGAGAGGCCTCTGCTGAATGGGGTGCAGGGAGAAATGCTATGAAAGACAAAGGCAGCTGGAAGCAAGAAAATACCCCTGCTATGGCCCCACCAGCTGCAGATCAGCGAAAGGTCCAGAATATGAGGGGGATTCAAGGCCACAGAAAAGGGTAATTCAAGGGAGGGAAGGAGATAGGAACACAGCATACAGACAGAAGACACTATCTGGAGAATTCGCTCCCTTCACACTTTTCAAAGAGGGACTACAATAAGAGAAAATGTCTGGATGTCCTGGAGGGAGGTCTTGTAAAAGCGAAGTTATCCATACCAGGAAAAAAGGTCTCTCCCACATCTGTTCTCCCACTTCACAACTTCTTTCATGAAGTTAAAAGCACAGGCCGTCTCCCTGCCAAGGAACCTCTTGAGTCTAATGACTGGCTCCTGAAAGCGCTATGAAGTCCCCAGTGGAAGCCTGGGCCAAAGTAAAGGGAGTAGTTCTGAGCAATTGCATGGAAAGGCCAAAGGGAAGTGTGACCATCCGTTAAACTTGGCCTTGGTGGGCTCTTGGTCAGTCACCATAGAAACTGAATGTCCTCTACATGCCTGCCTCGATCCAGATATGATGGAGCTTTTACCATATCTTCTTTATATAGAGAAAAAATGACAAAATAAAAAGATAATTCTAAATCAGGAAAAAAAAAATTTACTGAGTCTCAATGTATTTAACACAGTTTCTGGATAAGAGACACACACAACCCTAGAATTTGGTGTGATTTCTACAAAGAACCTTTGGAGGTGAGGCAGCTATTCCATGCCTATACATTCAGCAGTCTCTCAGCTACTAATTGCAGAGAGCTTCCTTTCCAAGTATTTTGAAGGCCCCTGAATCCAAAGGGGAGAACAAATTTTCATCACTAGGGTTCTGTGATACATGATACAAAATCTACATTTCTATGACTTTCCTGGTGAAGCATTTTGGCTATATTATGAAAGTAGCAAGTCTTATTAAGCTAAGAGCAATATACAACAAAAACAAGAGGAAAAACCTTTACATGTTTAAAAACCAACTCCCTGAATCAATGATTAAGGGAAATTAATAAAATGTTGAGAGTTCAAAATGAACAGAAAGCTCTTGAAATTCCTGTCCAAGGTAGACATTTTTATCTCAAAAATTACACATGTTTTCTCTAACCTTTAAGAGACCATCTGTCCTACTGCAAACCATTCCCTAGACAAAACATTGACCACATGCTGAAAAAGAACCTAATCCCTACACAACAGCATACAAACCCCTCAGCAACTGGCCACATCAGCCTGAAAAATATAACGGACACAGGAGTGGCACTTCTGGTACACAGACATTTTTGGTTTTACTGAGCCCACTTATAGAACCCCCAAAACTGTTTTCATATAAAGTTTTCAATCACATTAAACCTACAAGCCAGATTAGCTCTTCAGCACTTTTTTGCATGAGAAGTAATGTAATACCAGCAATGGCAGAAATCCATAAATAAAACATAACTTTAGAATAAACATTATATCATGCTTGTTTGGGAAATAAAAAGAAGAGTCCAAAAAAAATCTGAACCAAGTTTCTTCAAATTAGACTGAATCCTGCCTTCTTCTAGTAAAAATGATAAAAAGTTTTTGTTATAAATAATGATGCTTATAAAAGTGATTACTAGAAACTTCTAACAACAGACAGATAGGCAAAGATGCAGTGTGCTTTTGCTCTTCCGCGTGGAGAACCCCAACAAATCCAAGCTCCTCCCACAGCATGAAGAGCAGAATTTAGGTCAAGGGGCCAACTACACGGTGCTATTATCAGAGGCAGCAACAAATTGCCACTTCTCTCTGCCTGTCCCATTTGAGTATTGTGTTAAGCAACCATGCAGGCAGTTTAAAGTATGCCAAAATGAAAAATGGAAAAACACATCTTTAGAAAGTATTGCTTTCACAAGCAACTGCATCCTTAACTCTAGAGTCAACACCATCCTCACCACTTCCACACACTCCCCTATACTCCCCAGGTTAATCGCTACAAGATGAATTAAGTAACAGGCCTAGGAATTTCGGCTTGTTGTTAATTAGCCTGTCTCTGAATAGTAAAAGCACACTGACAGTTTGTACGTCACCCAAGAACAGATGTAAAGCATTTTAAACAGGGACTGACCTGGAGGCGACTGGTGCTGGGACCGAGCTATGTTCTTCCCAGACCCCAAGCTCTTTTCCAAAGGTTCCCCAGGCACCAACTGAGGTTGGCCTGCTCTGAGGGAGGCTGAGCTGGCTCCTCTGGTCTCCGTGACCTTTGCAGAGGATGGTAGCTCCAAGATGTCAGTGGAGGGGGACCCAGAGAACGCACTGCTCTTTCTACCAGGAGAATCATCAAGAGCAGCTTCCCTGTCGCCAGGCAGTGGAGGGGGCCCGAGGATCTTACGATGCTGCTGAGGTCTGGGGAGCCTTGGAGACACAGGTGAGGGAACAGGTGACATCCGCTTGTGTTTGCTGGGCTGACAGGATAAATTATTAAACACCATGCTGAGAGCTGCCAGTGCTGGGGGAGCTGGCCTCCTCTCATCACCGCCAGGCTGTGAGGGGCTTACATTGTGGGGAAGATCCAGGAACGTGCTGTGGTCACTTGGAAGTAGCACTGCTTTCCTCTTGCTTCTAGTTTCCTGGAGAGTATAGGCGGCTATCGTGCTGAGGGGGACGCCCAGCCTTTTCCCCTCAGTAGCTTCATCTAACTTCTCACTCTCTATAACCTTCAGGAGGACCTTGTTCACAGCCTCCTCAGCGTGGGCTGCCATAAATTCCCTGGGCAACAGCGGCAATGATCTGTCCACTCGCTGCTCCATGTCCTGCCGCCTGGAACTAGGAGCTCCTGCCTCAGCTCCCAGGAAGGTGGGTAAGTCTGCTCTGGGTATAAATGCAGCTTGGGCCACTGGGAAAATGGTAATTCTTTCCTCACCCTCAGGATGCATTTTAACTACTCTTTGCACCTGAGTGGACAGATCCTGGACTTTGGCTACCACTTTGGAAACAGGCTTCTTCCTGCAAGTAAGCTCAGCAGACTTCTCCCCCTGGCCCCTCTCTTCCTCTGGATGCTTCTCAGGGTCCTTGCACATTTCAGTCAAACCTGTTGGCTGATATGCCAGCGCATGAGGGCCCCTCTTCGGGCCCCTGGCACCATCATCTCCTGGCTCTGTAGAGCTGCTGTCAGAAGACAGTCCTCTTCCAAGCCCAGTGTCCTCAGAAGCTTCCCTGCAGCTCCCAAAGCCAGGTCTGGCCTCCAGTGTCCTAGGGGTATTTGGGGGGCAGCTGTCTCTCCTCCACAGGGAAAAGGTGAATGCCCCATTTGGGCTCAAGTTGCCTTTCTCTTTTAAGAGCCAAAGACTAGTCCTTGTCTGAGAAAGAAGAGGGGAGTTGCTGGAGTAGGCTGGGCCACTCCCCATCTGAGGAGCCAGGTCCTGGCCCCCATGCCTCCTTCTTTTTGTCCTCCTCTGCAGGAGCTCTCCAAAGCTCTCTCTCCTTCCACCAAACCTCTGGGGCTTTTTGTTCCCATGGGGTTTCCTCTTGTTGAGGCGGTCCATAGGGGCCTCCCCACACCAATCACCAGTACTCTGGAAACAGCTGTCCTCAGGGGCCAGGCTCACGGACAGCTCTGGCAGCTTCCCCTCCTGGTTCCTCATCATAATCCCCAGGATGTGGTCTGAGCTCAGAAGACTGGCCAGCAGTCTCTCCCTCTCTGCTGTGAGTTTGTACAGCTCTGTTAAAATGTCTTTTGTGGGAGTTTGCTTGAAAAATATGTCACCTGGATGTTCATTTGGCTGGAGTCTGAGGCCGATGACGTCTGACCCCTCCCTGACTTGGTAGCAGTTATGAAATCCTTTATTGGTTCTGTCTAGAGTTACAGTGCCCTTGTATGAATATCCTCTGACTTTCCCCCTTGGAAGATAGAAGCTGATGTGGCAGAGTTCAGTAATGGGCTTACGCAACTGAAGGGTGCAGTGAGTGCCTTCCATTATGCCTACCTAATTATTCATGCCTCAGAGATACTGTGGTCTGTGGTCAGGCTTCCCAGGCTCCGCTGGTGGGGCATGTGATGGTGGCTACGTAGGGAAAGCAGCTGACAGTCATCTCCAGCAATGAAACTGCCTGTTAAGAGGAACAGGGGAAGAAAGCAGCTTGTCTAACAGAGTGCATAAACCATACACTGACACAACTCAAAACATAACCATGACTTAAACTTCCTCTCTGACTGACCTCAACCAAGTCAACTCAAATGAGCCAGGAGTCTGAGTGCAACCTTTTCCCCCACTTCCACCCTGCCTTTGACCAGCAGAGTTTTTCTACAGCTAAGAGAGGAGAGTGCTCTAATTTTAGCCCTAAAACAAAAGTTCCTTTCCCCACATGGGAACTCCTAGAGGGATCTCTCAGATTCTCTAGGCTTCAGTTTACGTTCCTCTATAAAACACAGCTAATACACAATGTAGAAATCCTGAGGAAAGGGAACTTTAAGATCCTTAGAAAACAGCCATTTTAATATGCTTGGAATATTACTTTGCAAAAACTTCAAGCCTTCTTAATCTCCAAAATGGACCTTCTAAGAATTTAGATTAATTATTTATATAACATAAAGAAGTATTGGGGGGGGAAACGTATTAGGCAAAAATCTGGAGTCTCTTCTGAACACAACTCATATATTTTGCCAAAAGTGCTAAAAGTGAAAAAAATCTATTTTTTAAATTTAAATAAGTAAATCAGGAATCTTAATCAAGCTTTTCTCCCCACCTGCTACCAACACTGACTAACCTACTCAAGGCCAAATGGAATGGCAGAGAAAAAAGCAAAAATCTGTAAGCTACTGCTCACCCCATGTGGATTTTCAGTGTCTTTACTATCAAAGTGAATAAAAGGTCACATAAGCAGTAAAGGTGGCTCCACACTCCTGTGATTTGGGGGACCCCAGGAATATCCCTCCACACAAGCACGGAACTTGGAACTCTATATTAAAACACTCCATTTTTTACATTAAAGTATTTCCCAGTCTTCAAGACATCCAGTGCTCAAAAGGAATTCTCCCTGGGAAGGGTAACACAATAACCATTTTTTAATCACTGATATCTTTCATGAATTATTTTCCTCAGGTCTTTCTAACTTAGATTTAAGGAGTAAAAAGATACATAGAGGTACATATTGAGTAGAATAAGACAGAAAGGAGGAACAGTTGTGTAATAAAAACTTGAGAAAAACTCAAGAAACTCCTTGAGAAAAACAGACGATATTAAGAGTGATAAAATGAAGGTCAAAAAAATTTCAGAAAACTTATCAACCCAGAAGTGTCAGGAGGACTCAGGAGATCATAGGGAAGTAAAGCAACAGTTTTAAAGTGGTTAATGAAAAGACCTGTTAACACAGAATTTTCTATCTAGTGAAAATATTCTTCAAGAATAAAGATGAAATGAAGAATGTAAGAAAAGATCATTCATTGTCTGCAGACCTACTCTAAAAGAATTGCTAAAAGAAGCTCTTCAGAAAGACTGAATATGATACCAGAAAGAAACTTGTAACATCAAGAAGGAGGAATGGCAAAAACAGTAAATATCTCTATAAATACAATGTTATTCCTCTCTTGAGTTCTTTAAAAGATGTTTGACAATTGACAGCAAAAAATACAATATTTCTTGGGTGAGTTTGCAATGTATGTGCACATAATACACAAGACAACTACAACATATAAAGGGGTGGGAAAAGGGACTATATGGTGGTAAAGTATAACTGAATTTAATTCTAACTATAGGGTGAAGAATTAGGCATGCAAATTTTAATCCCTAGAGCAACCAATAAAAACACATACAAAAAGATATAATCAAAAATACAATTGATATGTTAAAATGGAATAATAAAAATGTTCAACTAACTCAAAAGAAAACAAGAAAGGGGAAATGAAAGACAGGAACAAAAAAACCCCCACAAACCTGAAGACACAAACAGAAATAAATAATAAAATGGAAAGCCTAAATCTAAACATATCAAAAAATTTCATTAAATGTAAATGGCCTAAACACACCATTAAAAGACAACAATTATCAGAATGTATACAATATGGAGTTAAAGTCATTGGCTTAGATGAAGTTACTCAAGGAGAGTATGCAAACTAACAAAAGCAAAGGTTGCATAACATGGTGCTGGGAACACTTAAGATATTTAAAGGATGGATTGAGGGGAAAGAGACTTTAAACAAGGCTGAGAAAGAAATAGAAGTAAGATAATTCCCCATATTCTGCAGTTAAGGAAATCAAGGTTCAATGCTATAACTTATTATGCTTTTATAATAATTCTGTAAACCCTAGCTCTAAAGTCTTTCCATCAGTGTAGCCAAACTGAGACCAAAACTGATATCTCAGAAAGTAGTCTCAGATTAAACCACGGGGCTCCATAATACAATCCAGTCTTTCTTCCTCCCTTCCTGACAGTAACAGGAGTCACATACCAGTTATATCCTTAAATTCTTAGCTTCAGCCTCATCCACCATCCCTTCTTAAACAACTATTACATTTCCTTCTACTTCTACCTTTTCTTTTGCAGAGGAATAGTATTAGAATAGTGAAAGTCCCAACCATGGTGTTGTACAATGATGAAGACCTTTTAATTAGGGACCAAACCAAGGAGCATAGAAAATGAAAGGAATGACTTTTGGGTTGTAGATCTCAACACTGGTCATGAGGTTTGTGACAGGATACATAGCAAAAATAATTCCCTATCAACTGTAAAAGAGAAGTCTCTTGGAATTCTGAAATTTAAAAATACAAAACAACAACAACAAAAACAATGTTGCAGAGTGGTACTTTGCTTCCAAGATAAAATACTCTTCTAACAAATGGCAATAAGTACATACCTATCAATAATCACCCAAAATGTAAATGGTCTGAATGCACCAATCAAAAGACATAGAGTAATGAAATGGATAAAAAAAAACAAGACCTGTCTATACGCTGCATACAAGAGACTCAGTTCAAACTGAAAGACATACACAGACTAAAAGTGAAGGGATGGAAAAATATATTTCATGCAACCATTAGGTAGAAAAAAACAGGTGTTGTAGTATTTGTATCAGACAAAATAGACTTCAAAACAAAGAAAGAAACAAGAGACAAAGAAGGACATTACATAATGATACAGGGGTTAGTCCAACAAGAGGATATAACCATTATAAATATCTATGCACCCAACACAGGAGCACCTACATATGTGAAACAAATACTAACAGAATTAAAGGTGGAAATAGAATGCAATGTATTCATTTTAGGAGAATTCAACACACTACTCACTTCAAATGACAACTCGACCAGACAGAAAATAAGTAAGGAGACAGAGACTCTGAATAATGCATTAGAACAGACAGACCTAACAGACATCTACAGAACACTCTGCTCAAAAGCAGCAGAATACACTTCCTCTCAAGTGTACATGGAACATTTTCCAGAATAGATCACATACTAGGCTACAAAAAGAGCCTCAGTAAATTCAGAAGGATTGAAGTAGTTCCAACCAGCTTCTCAGACCACAAATCTATGAAATTAGAAATAAACTATGCAAAGAAAATGAAAAAGTCCACTAACACACGGAGGCTTAACAACATGCTCCTAAATAATCAATGGATCAGTGACCAAATTATAACAGAGATCAAGCAATATACAGAGACAAATGAAAACAACAGCTCAGTTCTCGAAAATCTGTGGGATTCACCAAAGGTAGTTCTAAGAGGAAAGTATGTTGCAATATAGGCTTACCTCAAGAAAGAACAATCCCAAATGAACAGTCTAAAGTTACAATTAATAAAACTAGAAAAAGAAGAATGAATGAGGCCCAAAGTCAGTAGAAGGAGGGACATAATAAAAATCAGAGCAGGAATCAATAAAATCAAAAAGAATTAAACAATAGAAAGAATCAATAAAACCAGGAGCTGGTTCTTCAAGAAAATAAACAAAACAAATATAGATAAACCCCTAGCCAGACTTAACAAGAAAAAAGAGTCTACACACATAAACAGAATCAGAAATGAGAAAGGAAAAATTGCTATAGACACCACAGAAATACAAAGAATTATGAAAGAATACTATGAAAAATTATATGCTAACAAATTGGATAACCTAGAAGAAATGGACAACTTTCTAGAAAAATATAATCTTCCAAGGCTGACCCAGGAAGAAACAGAAAATATGAACAGACCAATTACCAGCAATGAAATTGAATTGGTAATAAAAAATCTACCTACGAAGAAAACCACTGAACCATATGGCTTCTCTGCTGAATTTTATCAAACATTTAGGGAAGACCTAATATTCATCCTCCTTAAAGTTTTCCAAAAAGTAGAAGAGGAGGGAATACTTCCAAATTCATTCTATGAGGCCAGCATCACTCTAATAGCAAAATCAGACAAAGATACCACAAAAAAAGAAAATTACAGACCAATATCCCTGATGAATATAGATGCAAAAATACTCAACAAAATATTAACAAACTGAATTCAAAAATACAAAAAAAGATCACCCATCATGATCAAGTGGGATTTATTCCAGGGTTGCAAGGATGGTAGAATATTTGAAAACCCATCAACATCATACACCACATCAACAGAAAGAAGAGCAAAAATCACATGATCCTCTCAATAGATGCTTAAAAAGCATTTGACAAAATTCAACATTCATTCATGATAAAAATTCTCAACAAATAGGTACAGAGGGCAAGTACCTCAACATAATAAAGGCCATATAAGACAAACCCACAACCAACATCATACTTAACAGCAAAAAGCTGAAAGCTTTTCCTCTAAGATTGGGAACAAGACAAGGTTGCCCACTCTCCCCACTTTAATTCAGCATAGTATTGCAAGTCCAAGCCATAGCTTTTTTTTCCTGAATACATCTCCTTTGGAAAGGGAAACAAAAGCAAAAATGAACAAATTTGGACTACATCAAGCTAAAAAGCTTCTGTAGAGCAAAGGACACCATCAGTAGAACAAAAAGGCATCCTACAGTATGGGAGAACATATTTGTCAACGACTTACCTAATAAGGGGTTA